CATTTACCTTTTGTAGAGGTCACAACTATTCTCATCCATTAGATGTCAAATTGGATGGCTTGGGTTGAGTCACGAAGTTCGAGAATTTTTTTTTTGAACTTTATCTAGTCAATGACACATTTACAACCACCCATTTTGAAATTTAAGGGACAAGAATGATTGTGATCTCCTTATACAAAAAAATGATTGTGATTTCTTTATATATATATAAAAGTATACAAAGAAACCATTTATTTTTAATATAAGGAGGTCACAATTACTTTTGTCTATCAGATTTCAAATCAGATGGTTGTGAGTATATCATTTACTAGATTTTAGATTCAAAAAAAAAAAATTCTCGAACTTTGTGACACACCTCAAGTCATCCAATTTGGCATCTAAGGGCTGATACTATTTGTGACTTCCTTATATTAAAAACAAATCGTCTCATAATATACAATCTCTGTATATATTCCAACATATAGTATTCTAATGTTTTTATTGTGCTAAAAAAAAAGAAAATTTATCAAAATATACATAACAATGAAACTATGTAATATTTTATTTTAGGTGTATTTTGATTACCTTAGGTGTATTTCGGTAAATTTTAAAAACCACTTTGATGTGTCATTTGATGGGCTATTTGAAATTTGATCAAAATAATGATGGAACTTTGAAGTTAGACAAAAGTATGGGAAAGATGTTAAGTAGTTTGAATTATAGGCGTAGTGCTTTGATAAATTTCCCTAAAAATGATGAATTTTTTAAGTGATTTTGGAAATCATACTTTTTGGGCTGTTTTTTTATTAGGGATTGTATAATAAGGGCATTAGATTGAAAACATAATAAATTGAAGTGTGTCATAACATAAGAAATTTTATTTTAAATTTTGTGTCCAATCAAGGATATATCTTCAGCCACGTCATTTCACGTAACGGTCAATAATGATTAATACTTTTTTGTATTAAAAATAAATGATCTTATTGTATACATTTCCCATTTAAAATTGGTTCTTTTGAAAAATCACGTTTTTTTGCCATGAGTTTTTAACGACGGTGCTGATTATTAATGAATTAGAGGGGTTTTTGGCTCCTTTATTGCAAGATTTGAGTAGGAGTGGCTAGATTTTTTATGTGGTGCGATATGTTGTCCAACAAAGAGGCATCTGAATGTCCATGATGGAAGGTGGAGATTATGCTTAGCCCCAGTAGCCTGGAATACAGATGTTCTCAACGGTGGATCATTAGAAGTGGACAACTCAGGGTCACAGGATGCAACATCTACCATACACCATATTGGTGTATGGTGTATTTTCCCTTTGATATGGGAGTTTATGAGTGAAGAATAGATCTGATCTTGATCGAAATTAGGGGTATAGTGGCCATCTTGCAATGCAATTGTTAAAATGGGATTATATATTATGAGATCATTTATTTTTGGACAAGAAGGTCAATTTTTTTTTAGCCATTGGATGTTAAATCCAATATTTTAAAATGTATCGTAGCTTTCGAGAAAATTTGTTTCGGATTTTGTGCTCGATTAATAAGGCTTCATTACGATTTCACATCCAACAGTTGACAATGATAGTGACCTTCTTGTTTCAAAAAGTAAATGATATCGTTAAATATATTTCCCTATCATATTGCCAATTTTGTCATTCTCTAGTAAAGGGTAATTTGTCATTCCTATTGAGGGTAATTTTGTCATTCCATTTGGTAACGTATGCAAAGTTGTGGTAATTTTGTTGTTTGGGAAGTTTAGGGGTGTAATGGTTGTAGGGCTATTTTGGTATTTTGGTTTTTTAGGTGACCTCAGCTTGAGTGCCTTATTTGTTCACCCTCTAGGCCTTGTCAAGGGTCGGAATCAGACTTGACCGGTTAGCGATTGATGTTTGGCACTCAAGTTTGATTCCTACCACTCCACTACTCAAGAAAAGAACTCTATAAAGGGTGTTTTAGTCATCTCCGGGATGGACATTTGGTTTTGGTTTTGGTTTTGGTTTTGGTTGGCGGAGTCATTGCCTCAAATGGAGTTTTAAAATTCATAATGAATATCGCAAGAAAAGAAAAGAAAAAATAAATAGGATTCGTACTTATCAATGTGGGGTTTACGAGAACATCTCACTTGTAGAACTAAAAATCTTAAATATCAAGATCTCACCCAAGATCGTGTACATAGTTGGCTAGATGTAAAATAGATTAACACAAACATATATCGAGTACAAGAAATAAAGTAAAACTTAAATCACGTCATAACGACAAAAATAAGTTTACGTGGTTTACTTTCATAACGCTACATCCATGACCTCAATAAGTAGAAATCTATTTTATCAATAGATATTACTATTTTGGGTTACAAGAGATAATATCTCTCTCTAAACATCATTAAGATCTTCAACAATCTTCCCTTATAAATCCGCTCCACTAAATGAATGACATCATTGATCAATCTATCTTTCCATTGTCATATTGCGACTGTAAGTAGTACCTTGAGAGCAACCAATAGACTCTCTCCCTCTAAAAGTGAAAATTTAACCAACTCAAAATCTCAGAAGGATGTTGCATCTCTCTAGGAGGCTATCTTTCTCTCTAATGGATACCATCGTGTTCTTGGAGGTCCCTTTCCATGAACCTCAAAGGGCGTATCGTTAAAATGATAGGTATTATGTCTTCTTTAACCCATTTTTATGAAAAACACTAGGTTTTTTTCTTGCTTTATAAGAAAGCCATTTTCTTTTTATCATAATACTCTTAATCTTTAATAGAACATAGGAGTGGTGATTTTGACTATCACCAAACCTAATAGACAAGACCTTATCATACTAGCATTTTGATTGGCCGAACTGCTGCTCGGTGCCTTTGACAGTCTAGCCAAAAGCAAAAATAACGTTTGGCAAAAAAAAAAAAAAACCAAAATCAATATTTGACCGGTTTTGGACTTCTGCTCGTTTGGTTTCGACCCCTCTAACTGGCCGGTTTCGACCAGTTTGACTGTCCAAACTAAGTAGGCGACTTTTTATAATATATTACATATGTTAAGCTAGTATTCATACTTTCTTTAATATTTTTAAAATCCAGCCAAATTGGTTCTACCAACTGTCAGATAAGCTTTTATTTGGCCAAACCCCTCACCAATTTGGTGGTCGGTCAGATCTTGATACCACTTATTTTGAACTATTTTTTAACATCTTCTTTTACTCTTTGATCTAATTTCAAATTACTCATTGTTCATCATTTTTCAAATCACCCATCGAATGACACATCAAAATGGGTTTTGAAATTTATCAAAATATATACATGGAGTAAACAGATTTTATTAGGTTTGGTGATAATCAAAATCATTATACCTATGTTTTTTTTTAAAGATTAAGGATATTATAGTTGAAAGAAAAGCGGATTTTCTTGAAGAGCAAGAAAAAGCCCTAGTCATCTTTATAAAAAGGGGGTCAAGAAAGGCAAAATATTCATCCTTTGAGGGTCACCTTTTTTGGGATTCATGAAAAAGGATCTCCAAGAAGGAGATGGGTGTCTAAGAGAGAGAGCCATAACTTATAGACAAAGGCGGTTTTCCCATGGGACTTTGGATTGGTTAAAGATCTACTTTAGAGAGAAAATATAATGGTTGTTCTCAAGGTTCTCTTTTTGTAGTGGTATAGCAGTGGGAAAGATGAGGTTGATCAATGGTGTTGTTCGGTCAAGAGCGCGGATTTAGAAGGGAAAATCAGTGACGTTTTTATTGATAATTAAATAGTTATATCTCTTGTAACTCAAAATTGTAATATTCATCGAAATAGTAGATTTTTACTTGTTGAGGTCATAAACACAGCCCTACGGGGTAAACCACGTAAATAGTATGTTGTTGTGATGTGATTTAGTTTTTGATTTATTTTTCACACTCAATTTATAGTTGTATTTATTTATTTTACATTTAACCAACTGTGTATACGATATTGGGTTGGATTCCGATGTTTGGATTCTTAGTTTTGCAAGCGAGGGGTTCTCGAGGACCCTACAATTGGTATCCAAGCACAAGGTGTATACGGGTTTAAGATTTGTAATTTCAGTGAAGGACAAGATGAATGGTGAATTTACGTGGATACATGGTTGGTTTGAGGTGGTGAAATATGGAGGCGAAATGTTTGTAAAAATTCCACAATTGATGCAAGAGAAGAAATCAATGAATATATTCAATGAAAGTCGACGAAGCAAATTTGGTGATTTTGCTATCAAGATGGATATTGTTAGGTTTGGTGATAGTTAAAATAACCACACCTATATTTTCTTTAAAAGATTAAGGGTATTATGGTAGAAAGAAAAAGAGATTTTCTTGGGAAGCAAGAAAGAAGCCTTAATGAACTTTATAAAAAGGGGTTAAGGAAGATATAATGCTCATCCTTTAAGGGTCCCCCTTTTTGGGGTTCATAGAAAGAGATCTCCAAGAAAGAGAGACATGGCCTCATAAAGATAGGTGATTTTTCCATTGGGGTTTTTGGTTGGTTAGAGTTCCACTTTTAGAGAGAAAAATCTCTTGATTGCTCTTAAGATTCTCTTTCCAGTAGCAGTTTAGTAGTGGGAAAGATGAGGTTGAACAACAGTGTTGTTAGGTAGGGAGAGTAGATTTCGAAGGGGAGATATTAATGTCTAGAGTGGTTTATATCTTGCAACTCAAAATTGTAATGTTCATTGAGATAATGGATTTTTACTTGTTGAGGCTGTGGACGCAACGCTACGGGGCGAACTACGTAAATCATGTGTTATTGTGGTGTGATGTTGTGAATCTTAGTCCGTCATTCTACTTTATCAAGGGCCATACTTTCAGTGAGTACAAAAGTCTCCATATTATGCATTGTTAAACAAAATTTTGAATAATTTATTAATGCTCAACAAAATATTGTTTTGTTGTGGGATGTTGCAGGCTGCTATTTTGGGAGAGTTGTTATTGTCAGGGCAGTCATCCGATAAGCTACTGATGATATACCTCCCATTTCTCTTTGTCTCTCTAATTGCCATTGTTCGAGGTCTCGCCCCTTGTTCCACAATTGCTTCAACGCCTGTGCCGGCTAGAAAGAAGAGGGCTTAATGGTGCCCATTTTGTCTCAGACCCATTTTGTTTTTCAGCTCAACTTGTGCAGGCATGCACTTTTGTTTAGAGAATTTAGTGCACCCTTGGTAATTGGAAGTTGGGGATTCTTTAGAACCTGAAAATTCTAGGTCCCTAGATGCTAGAACCGTTATTATGTGGGAGTTTTGGAATGCTTGTTTTGGAAGTTTTTGAATGTTTATTTGATAAAAGTTCTATGTTCTTTTTTTGGAATATAGAATTTCCTAAAGCCGGCTGCTGCAGTGGTAGCACTTCTAGTTTAACAAATAAAGAAATGCTACAATAAGCCTAGAACTTACAACTTTTGGGGCCTGAACTTCTAGTTATCAAACTTGCCCTTCGAAATATTTATCCTGGACAGCATGGTCATTAGAAGTGAGCACCAAGCATATTTTAGTTGGCACTTCCGAGGTACTCTATTAAGGACACGGTTTCTATGTGTCTATGTAGAAATGTGTCCGCTTTTAAAAATATATTTTTGAGATGGAGTTTTGGACCCAATTTGAAGGAGATCATGAATATGGAAAAATAAATAAAATTTTTACAACATAATAATAATTTTATAAAGAAAACATTTGGACGATTAATTTCAATTGTTTTTAGATGGACCACTCATTTGCGGCCATCGTTAAGATGGTTGCTTTATAATGCAGAGGAGCAAATGTATAAATGCAGGATACGATGCATGAAAGAATTTTCCTTCTATTAATTCCATTTATAGTTTTATACAGTCAAAGCCTATATGCATATACTTATCCCAACTGTGTGGGATGTCAAAATAAGGGACTAAAGCACGAATTACTAATATCTGAAGGATTTCTTTTCATGATAAACAATATCTAGGGGTTGAACCAGCGTAACATCCGTAAATTAGTTAAAAAAAAGGTAATTTTGTCTCTGTAAGTAGTGTAAGCCCATTCATGTTGCTGTACTTTCTTTCGTAAGGGTAGACCATAGAACGTATGCTATGGTTAAAAAAATAGATCCGTGATGAAGATCACCTATTTGGAAAGCTAGTCTGGATCTGCAATCTAGCCAAGTGAATTGATCGATAAGAAAAAAATAAATAAAATTTAAAAATAAAAGATGAGACCGGATCTAGCTAGATCTATGACATCACTGGCCAAAGCCGTCCCACCCCTGCCAGTTCCCGATCCAAATCAACCAATTGAAATTTAGATTGCTGATTTTTTAAACATTGTTATAACTTGAGCTCCTATTCATTTTTTAAATATTTATTGATTTTTTAATGTATTAGGTGAGAATGGAAGTTTAGATCTTAACTGGGGCACCCAACCTCATTCTAGGCCTTGTAAGCCAATAAAGATTGGACATTGTAAGTGTAATTAGTAGGAGGATGCAAATAATGGAGTGAAAGACAGCAATTCACTGAAGTGGAGGCAGAACGAGAGATGAAAAAAGTTAAAAAGGTTTTCTATGCTACAATCTCATTTCCCACAGCATGCTAGCCCCACCGGACCATCCGTCGACAACAGATTGTCTGGAACAATTGTTGTGCTACTCAAAGTAACCCAAAGGATTCAATAGATATTAGAGTGGAGAAACAACTCACAGAAACATGCGTTGAGGTAGGAGCATAGTTAGCAAGTTTGGGAATAATAATGTATCGACGAACTAAAATATTGGTAATAAATCGACTTAATTTCAAAAAGTCAAAGGAAAACATCGAGTCAAAAATACAGATCGCCAAAAAATATAAAGTAAGTTATAGAGTGAATATTTCATATTTGGCTAAAAAAAAGTGAGTGAAAAAAGAGATATTTAAAGATAACATAAAATTATGATTTGCAGTTATTGTATAGAAAAATTAAAGTTATTGAAGAATAATTTTATGGGCCTT